ATATATATTTGTCTCTGAAAATGCAGAGTACCTTTTTACTGCTTAGAGTAAGTGGGCATTAGGCCCACAGTGTTAGGAAAGAAAACCATATGTTATCGTAATGACAAGGTACCGTGGTATTTTACTATGAACTTAAATACAATTGTTAATCTGAAGGAAGAGGATATAGTATAGCTATGAAATAGGTTTTGTTTAGTCTTTGATAGTTCCTTTGTAGCTACCTATCTTTTGAAACTATTTTTAATAGCAGCATGTAGCTAACAGCTAAATTAATGATTTGTTTTAATTGAAATCACAGAAGTCTTTAAGAGCTGAAATCTAAAAGTGTTGGATTGGTTCTGATTTTTCTTCTCTGTTTTTACAAAGGGGCGTTGGATGCATATTTTTTGAAATGGCATCAGGAAGGCCTCTTTTTCCTGGTTCAACTGTTGAAGATGAACTGCACTTAATTTTCAGACTCCTGGGTAAATGGATGCTTTTAGCAGTAATGTTAATGCTATTTTTTTTTTTCTTCTAAACACTTTTTCCACAAGAACTGTAGATCTTTATAAATTATGATATCTTATTGTAATTAAGGTGGATGAGTGTACTCTTGAAAAATAGCTGAGCTGAGTGCACAGCTAGCTTGTACAACATAGACTCATTCAATGATTTTTTTTTTTCCTTCCTTTCTTTTTCTTTCCCATTTAAATTACAGGATTAAATATTTATTTATGTCAGAGTTGTTTCTTCACATTTTTTTTAATCTGAATTTGTTGAATTTTTTTATATGCAGGAACCCCATGTCAAGAAACATGGCCAGGAATTTCTTCCAGTGATGAATTTAGAAACTACAACTTTCCAAAGTATAAACCGCAACCCCTCATCAACCATGCACCAAGGTACTTCATGTTTTATTAATAGAAAGTGTTCATCCCTGTGGTTTTGCATATTTGTAAATATGGATGTGTTCCCAAGTCCAGTCTGCTGCCGAGTGCTGGAAAGCTACACATCAGTTCTGCTATTGTGGGCAGGCAGTAATGCAAAGCATAATCCTAGTACTATGTGATTATTTTGTGTAGTATCACTCAAGGTACCACAGCTCCTTAATGACCTGTAGAACTATAATTAATAATGGCTGCAGAGTAGGAGTATTCACACAGCATTTCTTATCCCAAATTATCTTCTGTTCTGTAGTATGCCCATTTTAAGATGTCACAGTTTCCTTGAGCAGTCCCTTGAAATGATTCTAAAACCATTATGAGAAATTTGAAGGGTCTGCAGAGTTATTATAAACAAACTTTATAACAATAACTACATTTTGTATCAACTCTGAAGAAAAAGGTCTAACAGTGTGTCCTTCTAGTAAATTAGTATTGTTGGGCTTTTAAATTTTTTTTTTTAAAAAAGGGTTTTTTTCTGAAATAAATGATCCAGGTCAACCTAGTAAATCAGAATCCAAAGCTCAGAATTTGTCTGTCCCAAGTGTTTTTCAGATATTCTTGTTCTGAGATATTGGTACTTGTATGTATACATATTAACATGCAGAAAAGTTTTTCAGGTGAAAGCACTTCCATGTTTAAACGTAATTTTCAGGTTTGATACCATGTAATGAAGTCCTTTCCTTTGTAGTTTTGCTTTTATAAATATGCTTCAATAACCGTTTTAATTTTTTGAATTATTTTTGTTTTTAGGCTAGACACAGAAGGAATTGAATTGATAGCGAAGTTCCTTCAAGTAAGATGCGTTTTGTGGCTTTACTTCATAAAAGTGCAAGTTTAGAGTTTTAATATATTCTTTACAAAATCTGTTAGAAGCTGCATTATCCGCTAGATCTATCTCAAAGTGGAGTATGCAGCTGAGACTGTAGTGGATGGCAGATTTGGGAAGAGTGACAGTTTTGGGAAGCCTGTGTACTGTAAGAATGTAAAACCTGGTGTTTAATTTTTTATATTATTTTCACCAGAAGTGATTTTTTCTTACTGCTTTTTGTAACAATAGAATTGACTCCATGTTAGCAGTTCCCTGAAAAAAATAAATCTCTTGTGAAATACAGTATTAAAACACAACTTTTAGATGCAAAACCTAAATTTTTGTAGCAATTAATTTAGCGTACTACTAGAGAAGCAGTTACTACAGTGTAATATTATGCTTTGATCTTGCAACCTGTATTCAAAAGGTGAAGTGGTGTGTGGATTTAAGCTTTTAATCTGTATTAAAAATGAGCCAGAAGCAAAGAGAGGGGAAGCAAAGTAGAAGGCCAGGTCTTCAGTCTTTGGGTAGATGCATAAGCACCGTAACACAGTACATAAATTGTAGTGGACTCTGCTTTGCACCTGAGATTTAAGTTCTGCATCAGGTCTTCATCTATTTACGCATTGTATCAGAGGAGTCCTTGCAGTCCTTGTTTGGACTTCATCCTTATTTGCATACAGCTTTTTAAATATCTGTGTCTTTGTCCAAATGTGCACATACACCAAGCAGGAGACATCTGAGCACAGAGTGAAGACCATGTTGTCCAAAGTTGTCTTTTGTGCAAAATGCTGCTGCATTTTTGCTCCATCGAATTAGAAAACTTCTGTGATTTCATAGCAATTTAATATTAAAATGTAATGCAGACAGAGTCTGTCATCTAATCATTGTTACATCTATAAATAAGGATTAAGTATATTTTGGACTTACATCCTTTTACAGCAGTTATTTTTACTATTTTAACCATCTTATTTTATGTTGATAATGCTGATTCAGAGAGCATATGTTAGATTTTTCCTGTGTGAAATAATGAAAACAAATTTGTCCTAGTGAATTGGTGGGAAAGTTTGAGCATGTACAACTCTATTTCTCCCTTTGATGAAATCCCGCGTTGATGCAAAGCATTTTTAAATAAAAACTGACACATTTGTATCCTTTTATATTAATAGTATGAATCGAAGAAGAGAATTTCAGCAGAAGAGGCCATGAAACATGCATACTTCAGAAGTCTTGGAACAAGAATACACACTTTGCCTGAAAGTAAGAGGAGTAGTAGAGTAGCAGAGTATTGTTAAGAAGTGTGTTAAAGCTATGTGTGTTGCTTAAGGAAAAGCTCTCAGATCTAATCTATTAAAGAAGCCTGGTATATATTAACTTAAACATCTGGGAATAGGAACCATTTTTTAATCTAACCTGTAAAGTGAAGAACAGAACTTTGTTCAATAAAACATAGTTACATTTGGATATGAATTAATTTCTTTGTTCCATTCCAGGTGTTTCAATATTCAGTCTAAAAGAGATTCAGTTGCAAAAAGACCCTGGCTTTCGGAATTCTGCTTACCCGGAGACAGGTATGGAAACATTAATGTTTTCCCCTATCTGCAAGTGGAATGCTGTGCCAGAGACATTGGGAAGTGAAAAATACTTTGTTAATTGTTCTGTGTGAACGTACTCAAACATCAAGAATGATTTGCTCGGATTCCTGCAGGGACATACAGGCCAGGCTAATTGCACAAGAGTTGAGTTTTACTAGGGGTGTGCTGAGGAACTGTTAATATGAGAATGTTCTGGAGTTCCGATGGTTACTGTGCAGGCACAGAGAATATTGTCTCTAAATAGAGGAAAGATGTAGATGGTAACTGTGTGGATGCTTCAGTTTCTTACCACGGTCTGTGTTCTGTTGTAGGCCACGGGAAAAACAGAAGGCAGAGCATGCTTTTTTAAAGTGGGCGGTGCGGAGTCAAGCCCAAGCCTATCCTGTCAGTGCAGGACTCGGATCTGAAGGCAGTGCTCTCTGTTGGTGGACTTGGAATCACAGTTTGTCTACACTGTCCTCTTCACAGTGGAGTCTTTTTATTTCCAACCTGCAGATTATGTTTTTATATTTGTTGTCACAGTGTGACAATTTTTTGTACAGTTGGTTTTAAGGTCTCCTCTGCCACTAGAGCCAGTAGGTTACTGCTGTCGATGTAACTGTAGCTGCAATTTTTGTGCAGGACTGAGAAACACAGTGCATTATTTATTGCGGAATCATTGCTGCTAAATAACTACTGTCTGTATAGTTAACACAACAGTTCCATGCCTGAAGAAGTTGCAATGGCTTTATAATATGTGGATGCATATGTTTCTCTTCATAAAATGTTCTACTGCTGCGGGATTTTTTTTGTATTTCTTAAACTGCAGTGTTTCCTGGAATGTAAACATAGCTTTGCTTGGCTATAGGTGAACCATCCTTAACGCTCTAAGTTCATGGCACTTAATTCCTTATTTAACATTGGAAGTATGTGTTGAAATAGTTGAAAAATTATAATGCATATTATGTTTTTGAAAAGCACATGGTGTGAAAGTTGATTCAAACAAGTGAACAGTAACAGTTTATTTGCTCTCAGATCCTACGTTAGTTATTGATCATTTAGAGCCAGGAGGCCGGAAGATAAATTTTGTCAGGCTTACTCCAGCATAAGATACTTGCACATTGTTGTGCATGTATGGCCTGCAGAAGCAATTACTTTTTCTATCTTGTTTTTAACTCAGAAATACAAATAAGTAAAAGGTGACTCATAACATGTTTGGCCCTGGCTTCCTTTTGAAATTCAGAATTTCATTACAGAGGAACAGGACAATTACAAGAACACAGGAATAATGTCATGCTTTTCCCACCTTGTTGCTCTTCCATTGGTGCATTTTTCAGTTGAAATCAACTGGAAAGATGCAAGTTTGATACGAACTCACTATACTACAGAGCTTTTGCATTGGGAACTTAGAGAGTTTTTCAGATCTTAGATGTTATCTGTTTACCAGAGATAGTAAACATTACTACTATGCTTATGCATCTCAGTGAGTATCATAAGTACGCCCTTGGTGATGGTTACAGTATTTTTAAGCATTTGTGTTCACCTTTATGAACCTATTTGTTTAGTGCATCTTAAAGAGACTGTAAATCTTTATTGGTATATTTTGAAATGGTCATGTAAATCTTTGGCTGGTATATCATGAAAATAGTCATAGGTAACTTAATTTTTCCTGACATTCACTGTAAAACATTCAGGGGTCCTACCATTTCTGTTCAGGAAATCTTGTAGTTTATTGTTATTTAACAGTATTAAGTGAATTTTTGTATATTTCATTTTAACTTTATTTGTGAATAGTGATTGTGGCATGTTTGGGGGTGTTTTATTAATATTTCATTGATACTGGTAAATTCGAATTGGGATTTTTTTTTTATTTTCTGGAAGAGAGAAATTCGTGTGTAACGGTGACTGTTGGACCACTACTGCTTTTCAGCATTTGTAAACTGGTTTTACGTTAAATCTTGTAGACCTAACAAACTGCTGTTATTTCTAACTGACCGACCTGTATTAATATTGTACTTTGGAAAGTATAAATATTATGTGGAATTCTTTGGTTTTGTTTGGAAGTTTATAATAACAAAGGCCCTGTGTTGTTAAAAGTACAGAGGAAGCGAACTCGCGGCTCCTGGGGCGTTGTTGGAACGCTGAGCTAGATCTGCGTGTCGTGGGAGCCATCAGTTCCAACTTCGGCCGCGTATCTTTAGTGCAACACAGGAACAGTGGTACTGACAAGTGACGTGGCTAATCCCAGCAGAGGCCATTCAGGATCTTGCTGTAGCCGTGGTCCGTAGTCCAGTTCTTAGCCAGCCAGTCCTGCATGTCACACGGGATTGAAGCCTGCCTAGGTCTAGGGGCGTGACTCGTCACCCAGGTGCACGCGTGGGTCTCCCGCTGATACCGGCAGGAGCGTTACCTGTGCCTCAGAGGCAGATTTGGCACTGATGGAAAAAAAACTTTGTCCTGAAATAGCTGTTATATATTTTTTTATAGTTGCTATGGATCCGCTCTAGATTTTATACTGATTAACTTTGTAGGAAATATGTTGTAGACGTGATGGTGTTGAAGAAAGAAGTATCAGAAAAACACCTCCTTTTTTTACAGAAGTAGTGAAGACAGAGAATAAATGTTCACTGTGGATACATGTGAGATTTAGCATTTCTAGAACAGTAATATTTTATAGGTCATAAAAGAACAAATAATAATGTGACACTAATGAGTAAATGACTTAATGGTTTAACTGGGAAAACTAAGTGCATTAACAAATTTAGAAAGGAATCGGCTGCAGTTAACAAAAGGAGGTTTCCATTTTAAGTAGGATTTCAGCTTTTTGTTACAGATGAAAAGAGCCTCCATAAAATTAAAGCACTCTGTTTATAAAGAGATTTTTCTAAGGACCTGCAGGTGAATTGGTTTGCTTCATTAGGAGGTAGCTTTAAAGAATGTATTTCTTCAGAAACTTGTCATCTGTGGTCAAGCTAGGGGTTTTTTTGGTGTGTTTTTTTTTTTGTTGTTGGTTGGTTTGGGGTTGGTTTGTTTGTTTGTTTGTTTTTTTACTGTATAAATTCCTGCATCAGCAGAGGCAGTTCTGTGGCAGCTGCCTCTTTGGGACAGTAGTTGGTGAGTCTGAAGTTTTTGGGCATTTTTCTGACATCCTTTTTGTGCAATTCAGTGTTCTGCCTCCTGTCTGACAGCGCTGGGCGCTACCAGCTTGGTTTCACTGTCGCCAAGAACTGTAGGGAATGTTAGCCTTCTTGGGAGAAGACCTCAACCTTGGCAAAAACCAAGCAGATAGTTGCTAAAAATGGATGACTTTCAAGATTTGGTATGACCACCTTTGCTTGAAGATGAGTGATCAGTTAATGAGAAATGACCTGCAAGTTGTTGTGGATTAAGCATTTTTAGAAGATACCTGGCATATCCCACCTACCCAGGGGTAGGAATGTGAAGTTGCACGTACAGGTGCGTGTAGGAATAAGACAGGAGAGAGGCAGGTAGTGATGAGGTGGTGTGCACACGGAGGTGAAGGTTGAAGGGGCAGCAGGGTGGGTGGGGGAGTAAGATTGATGGGATGGGGCAGGAGGTCGAAGGGGCAAACCAGCTGCTCAGCAATGCTCTAGTGGAACATGCATCTCAACACAGCGGTGTTATTTTTGTGCTGCTTTACCACAGCATTGAGTAGCCAGAGTGTATCCCTAAACTGGGCAATAAAATAAAAAATTATTAAAGAATCAACATACTTTGTATTTGCAAATCATTTGAAAAACTGCGAGGCAGCGTTTTCTGGGCTGTTTGCTTGTTGTTTGCACATGAGTTTTTCAGTGTAATAAAGGTACATTGTTGCTGTTTTGCAATGCTGGGATGGAATTAAGGTTAATAATACCTTCAGTTATTGAGGACAAAATATATGAAAGTTATGTCATAAATATCCCCAAGCAAAGTACTATAAACCCAGGAAATACCCAGAATTAAGGTCTAAACAAATCAGGGTATGGAAATGCATGGCTATAGTGACACTTAAGAAAAAAATTGGAATGTACCTCGTCTGTGACAATGTGGTCACAGACGTCATTGTTTTGTCCAGTCACTAATGGGCAGAGTTAAAATAATTTGTGTGCCTTGTTAGTGTATGTCAATACCTTTTTTCCCTCAGTGAAGTTTTGCTTTGAAACAAATGCAACTTTTCTATGAAATCCCCTAATTTTGAGGAGGAACCTGAATGCTCATTTTCTACAGATTTTTTTTCATTTCAGAGACAGGGCTGTTGGAGATTTAATGCCACTGTTTGGCCTGTGTGTGGGTCGGCAGCATCCATGTCAGAGCAGTTCAAGCGATTGACAAGATAACAAATAGAGATTGTAAAATGTAAAGGAAGCACTGCAAAGTGTAAACACTTCTAAGCTAATTGGTACATTGTAAAGTCAGATCTGGCTCTGCAAGTAGGATGATCTTGAAAAGTATAAAAGCCAAGTAGATTCATGGAATTCATAATGCATGTAATACAGCCTTTTCATCTGTGGGGTTTAGTGGCACAGAAATCACATTCTTGTTCTGGGCCACAGTGGAAATTCATGTTGTCAGAACTGGGATTAAGTGTTTAGCGATTATAGATTTTTTTTTTTTTTTTTTTTTTTTTTTTTTTTTATTTTTTTTTTTTTTTTTAATCTTTTGTGTGTGATTTTTCACTGGGCTGTACTCTGCCTCTCTTGTTAACTGAGAGAAAAAGATTGATGTCAGTAGGAAAACGTGTACATGACAATTTTCCATTATTTTCACATTTCCTAAAATCCCTTAATTCATGTAAATTCTGTAACTGTTGAGCCAACTTAAACTGCAAATACTGTTGTAAAGAACTGCATAATTTATTGTCCTGGCTGCATTCTCCAGAATCCCCTAAGTAGCAGGCCAGCCTGAGCAGATTGTTTTTATGGTCCTCCTAATGAAATACAAGCCTTGTTCAGCTCAGATGCCATACCGTGGAACACATCTCTCCCCAGACAGCTATGAAGTCCCTTCATTTGTTGAAGGGGGATCTTCTGGCTGATAAAATTGCCATCACTGCAGGTTGCAAGCTTCCCTATCCCCTCTCTAGGATGTTTTTGCAGAGCACCTCCCTCGGGGACACAGGTGGTGGCCGCCTCCTCTTTCACACCCTGAGCTTGTTTTTCCAAAGGCTTTCTTTTCCCGCTTGCTCATGTCCTTTTCCTTAATTTGCAGGAGGCAGCAGCTGGCCTCAAGCCATGTTAGGAATAATGAAGGTTATATTTATCTATTCACACTTCTTGCAGACTGAACACGAACTGATGGGAGTCTTTGAAGAAAAGAACATATCCTAGAGTCCTCTCTTCTAGGATGCTTTACTAAAAATAGCCCACACACACCTACAAGGCAGGCCATGATGCTGATCACTCCAGAGTCCTCGCCTGAGGTTCAGTCTCCTTTTTTTAGTTTAAATAAATCTATACTCCTCCTCACTAATGCTGTCAGTCTCTTTGCCCTCAAGAACAGGTTTTGTACTCCATCTGTGTAGGCAGAGCACTTGCTTATTAATTGGTAAGAGCAGGTACAGTTTGGGGCTAAAAGGGAGTTCAAGAGTTGCCATTTTCTGAAAACTTCATAGAAGTATGCTTAAATTTGAGCAACCTGTGTTTGTTTGTCCTACAGGATATAGAGACAGTCTCAAGATCAGAAGGGAACAGCGATGCTTTATGTGAAAGACTACCTGTAGTTACTGTGTCTTTTCTCTATTCATTTGTTGGTCATGATGGCTTCTGAAGATGCTTCCTGTAAGCACCAGAGTATGCAGTTCCTTAATGTAGAGACTTGTTTGGTTAAAATTAAATGCTGTCATCTGTTTTAAAGGACCATCTCCCCTTTAAACAGTCATCTTGTTGACAGTTCATTATTTCTTGGGTAAGTATTTCCAGATTGACAAGTGCCTGTCTGATGAGACTAGTTTTATTCAGACAAAACAAATTGTTCTTTATTGACATATGGATGCCTGACAAACCTTTTTCTGTAGTATGTTATCACCCATCACCGTTCTCCTCACCTTGAAATTTTTCTTTAGAACTGAAGCCACTTACCTGTGCCAGAGCAGACGATGTGTGCAGTCTTTTGGCACAGCTGTGGCACTACTGATGAAATTTCTTGCTTTGCTGAAAAACCAATGTGAAGGTAAGCCAAAAATAACCTAATCATGCACCCAGCCTATGTAATATGGACTACTTTTTGTGTATTGCTGGAGCATGAATAAAGTGTATATCTATCCCCAGAATACCTGAAGTATGATCAAATGGCAATTACTACCAAGAATTCTGAAGAAAGAATTATTCCTGTTTTGTTCCCCAGGATTGTTGGCTTGGAGCTTTCCATGCCACAGAAATACTGACATTTCCACAGTATTTACTTTAAAAACATTTATTTGATTTCTACTGTTAAAAAGATAGCCGTTAATAAAATTCAGTAGAAAACTACCAATAGAATATTTTCTTTGAAGCATAAGCCGTAGCAATCTAGTGTTTTAGGTAAGTGAGAGGACAGATTTCATTTGTGTAACTTCTTCCCAGTAGGAAGAATTTTTGTTCTATATTACTGACCAATTTGGAAGGCAGTCTTCATTTTGACAACTTATCTTTTTGAACTGAAAAGCAAACTAGCAAAAGAATCGTTATTTTTATTATCTCAAAGAGGAGAAGACAGCACTACTTATCCTGTTTCCCTTAAATTTTACTGGATTCTCTCGTCTCCTTTACGGTAATTTGTTGAAATAGATTTTTGTCCCACAATTGCTATTTTCTGGTGTCATTAGAAGAAAAATGAAGTCACTCAAGGGGCAGAAGGGTGGGAGGGAAGGTGTGAGTGTGTTCAGGTGTGTTGAGTCTTTTGAAAAGAAAAAAATCCACCTTATTAATAGTAAAACCTTGGTAGAAACAAAATCCTAAGAATCTGGATGCTTCAGAATCTCTTCTGTCACACACTGCCTCTTCTCATGTTCATCTGTTCTTTTGCAGTGCAGTATTCAGTACTTCTCATTTAGTCGAAGACCAGATTTTCATGAGTATCATGAGTCTATATTTTAAACTCATAGTGAGAAACGCTTCATCTCTGTGCCTTGTTCTCC